ATCTTGGCAAGGATTTTCACAATCTCATCATTTGAGGGGCCAAACAATCTCCTTTTTCAAAAGATACCGTGGGGGCACTTTTAATGCTAATGAGCTGGCCAGAAATTCTCACTTGAATTAGTGGTCTGCACCCTCAAAGTCAGACAGGATTCCCACGACTTCCCCTGAAATCATTGCCAGAGGTTTTTCCACCTGCTGCTGCAGTTGTGACATTTGCTAGTCCTGGTCCTAGCAGATATCTTTGGGCCTAAGGAGATGCATTTCCAAGCTGGAAACTGGAGACACTGATGCATGGGAAGGATGGGGGAAATGTAGAATTGAGGCAAAATCGTATTGCGCCACCGCTTGAGAGATTAATGTAAAATGGAAGAAATTTCAGTGAAAAGGCGGCCTTTTAAAATTTAGTGCTCAAAAGTATAGCCCATTAGCTCTGAAATATCAGCTGCACCTGTTTGGCCTTGAGTTTTGGCCGTTTGATGGGTCATTGCACAGTATACACATAGATCAAAAGGAACCCTGACATTTGTCAACTACATTATACATGTATTACCCAGTATCATCAGGATGCCAGACTGAGTGATACACATGTACATGTATCAAAACGGAGCTCAGATTGCTCCTTCTAATGCACATTGAAACACACAGTTATAGAAAAGTTATTAAGCTTCATTTTGTGGGATCTGAAATCTGTTTCCAATTCATCCTATGCACAGTTATAAACAACTTGTCTAGGTATATTCACTGTAATCAATCAAAGTTAAATCCTCCCAATTTTTCTGCAAAGGGTCACCCATGCAATCCGTTTTTACTGCAATTGTTGAAATGCATCTTTGTGTTTTAATAGGGGAATAAATATGTGCTTGGCCAGGAGAATGGTGGCGAGGGCATTATCAGTGTTCATTCTTCTGAGCTGGTCTGAAACGTTAGTTTAAGACTGGCCAAGCACGTATTTATTCCCATTCATAAGTACATGTACCTTTTTTGAGTTGAGGAGTCAAAAGAAGGCAATATATGATAGATTTCCAATGGTTTTCTTTTTACTTTAATGACTTTAATTTTCCCGGAACATCCCCATCCATTTTTCCATATATTCCTTGTGCAAGTTGTCCAAAAGAATCTCCATATATGGACTTGGTGCGCACGTGGCACATTCTGCATGACGTGTTGCGCGCAAACTCTTGACCGATAGAGATGGATTAAACTGTCTCGTATCCGGGTGCCAGAGCATGTTCCACGCAGCAGGAATTATCAAATGGTAATACATGGTCACATTGCACGTTCAAAAAGTTTCAACTTTTGTTTGCTATTTTAAAGGTATATGTGTACCTTCATGCAATTTTGGTTTTCTTGCATGTGCAAATTTCCATATTTGTGAGCCAAAGTGCGATTTCATTCCATGGAGAAAGCCTTGCTTTTTGCACAAAAATATCCTGGAAAATTTTGTAATTCCTGTTCTGAATTTCCCTTTCTTTAGGTGAGTAATTATGGCATGAGAAATTAATACTGGTAGATGTCACTTTTAAAGCCAACCTACATGTATGTGTTCAATGAGTAAATTTGGGGTGCACAAGTTGAACCACAAATCTTGTAACCTGAGAAGTCCTCCCTGATGGAAGCCACAGCAAAAGCACCCTCTGTTGTCCACAAAAGCATTCGCAATTTTCAGTGTTCAATAAAAATACTTTGTTTTCACTGTACTTAATCCCCAAAAGGGTATCAGATTATTTTCATGCACTGAAGGAAAGTGTAAAGCTGCACAACAGTGCATCTCAGAAAACTTCATCTCAATTCAATTCAATTCAAGATGGTTTATTTGTGAACTTTCTTTGTGGTCAAAGGCCAAATTACAAAAGTTTTTACATTTAAAGATTGATACAACCATTAAAATTTTGTTAAAATTACAATAAATACGGAGTTGCTTGTCTACATAAAAATTATTAGTTCTTATACATTACATCAATGACAACAAACAAAAAACCAACAAAAACCCTATCTCTGTATGTGGTAGTTAAAGAAAACCTAACCAACAATAAGAAAGGAGTATATAGAAGTTAGGAGACCTAATTAAAATTACAAATTAATTACAAATTAATCTCCTGAACCTTCACTTACACTGTATCTTCTGCCCCTCCCCTCCCTTGTCTCTCCAGGGTTTTGTCTTCACACTGACTGATCAGGAAATGTCGGAGAAATGCGTCCATGTGAAGTACTGCCCTGCCTCGGACAAGTACATCCGGGTATCTGATAACAACAAGCAGATTGCGGATTACAGGACTTGCCTGTATAGAAGCCAAAATATGTACCGCAAAGAGGAGTATGATTGGAACATGGTGAGTTATACCATGTGATTTGGAGGCATCAGCTTGAAAGCAAGGTGGCCAATTTGGAAGTCAGCTTGATTGAAATCACTGATGTAAATTACACTCTCAATCAAATGATTTGTTTATAAAAATTGTCGATTTAAACATTAGCACTCTTTATTGAATCACAAAAAATTTTTTTCGATTTATTTGACTGTTTTTCCAAGTTTCTTACGTTTAATGACAGACAACCCTCAATAAACCCCTCAATACCTATTGGTAGCACTACTTTGTTGCAAATGTTTGACAATCCTCTTTGCATGTGTAATTTTTGCCAATTCAAGTTGCTTCCATTTTAAAAAAATTGGATTCAAAGAATGAATTAGTTTGGTTTAATGTGGCCAAATGTGATCTACATGTAGTTTTAGTGTGCAAATTTAACGGGGCATTCAGCCAAAAATATGAACTTTTGAAAACACTGAGATACCACAACCACAGTTGATGGTCACTTGTTCAAGATTTGTACGGCTGTCACATTATGGCTTTTTCTAACCTTCAAGAAAATGCCATAAGGTTGTATTTGCTACAAAGCCCTGCTGTGGTTCATGGCCACTAGAGGCCTCCATACATGCTCATCCTCCATGCACTAGGTTGAGCCTCTGGGTGTGTCCTAACTCAGCAGGAATGACTCAAGCATGGAATGACTCTACATCACCCCGTACTGCATGCAGTAACTTGATGAGCTCTGCAAGGTCAATTACATCATTTATGTATTTTGTGTGTACAAAATTCTGGCAACTTGTCAGTGTCTCATCCTGCTTGTTTAATACCTTCAGGTGTATCTGGCCAGAGATAGAGGTGACCGGGATGGACACATTGAGTGGCGCTTTGACTTCAGAGACACCGGCCTGGTCGTTGATCAAGTGACCCTCGTCGCGACGGCCAAAGTCTTCCAGAACGGCCGGGTCCAGTGGAGTTGCGGTCCCCAAAATCAGAGAAACACCTTGCTGCCCGTCAGAGAAGGTGAGAAATGTTTAATGGGTACATGTGGCTAGTGTGTGTTAAGCCTTGCTAGCTACATGTACATATTCACTGGTGATCTGCCTGATTTTTGGAGTTACTTGTCCAAGTTGGTCGAGCAGAATGCTTCTGGATATCGTTAAACATGTTAACCTGTTCTTATTCCCGTAAGGCTGAGGCACAGGTGATGGTATTTAACATGTTAAATATTCAAATTATCAAGACGATTTTCTTTATTCATCATCAACAAACGGATGTGGCTATAGAGCGCTTTGTCAGTCAGTCGATTGGAAATGTTTTAAAAGGAGAGCCGTGGAAAAGCTTTGCTTGCTGTGTGCTTTTTTAAAATTAGTTTTCTAAATTTCTAAAACCATGAAAACTTTTACTTCCTGGGGTGATTTACTAGCAGCCTTCCACATCCTTGTAAATCTCAACACCATATTGGATACAGTGCTCGATATGGGGCCGATGGGTACCCCCCCACATGTCCAATCCCTATACACACTCTGGACTGTTGTTACCTAACACATCCCCCCCCCAGAAGTCTGGAAAGAATTCCTGAGATTCCGATTAAGCAATGACCAACACAAAGGGGGGGGGGAGTTCTCTCCATCCCATATCTTGCGTCATATTGTAAACTGTGCACATAAACAGTTGGACTCTGTTTGTGGAATGCCAATTCCCACACACTTGTACTACCCTGCCTGTATACCAGTGCAGTACTAATCCTGGTGTTGGAGTTTGGCTGATTTGGGATCATTGGGGTTAAACTCCACAAAATGCTTGCAATCTAGTCGTGGTTGAATTTGTCACCTCTTAAGGCCATCAGAAGACTTAGACCCGTGAATGTGGTGATGGGAAGCTTGCCACGCTTTGACATCATGGCTAAACTTTCCAAATATTGGCAAATTCTGGCACTGGCCAAAGATTTGTATATATGTGTAGGTGTATGGGCTCTATTTTCTACCCACCCCCAAATCTCTTTTGAGTAACATATCCTACACAACTGAAACCCTGGATAAGCTCTTATCTCAGTACTTAACATGTAGGTGCTTATTAAATTCACCGCTTAATCGAAACTCTTTTGCCAGTTTAGCCAGCATTTCAAAATTTTTGAAATGAAATCTAAACAAGGTAGTGTTTACCTCCACCATGTTCACGGGTCTACACAAAGACCAACACAAGACCTTCAAGTCACAAGCTATTCCAACGAACCAATGGCAACAAGAGGATTCCTTTGTTGCTGTTCATCCTGTTACTTGTGACTGGTCTTGTGACTGGTCTTGTGACTGGTCTTGTGATGGTCTCAACTACAACACTGGGTGTGTAGTTGTTCCCTGAGGAATGTACAGCGATAGAAGGCACTCATTTGAAAGAAGTATTGTCCAATCATCGTTTTGACAGGATTAGTTGAGTCGGTGCTGCGGGGTACCAACATCACCGGTCACCAGGAGTTCACACTAGCTGCCAATCTGTCAGGAGGGCAGGGTGACTGCTCCTACCAGCATGCACAGCTGTTCCGCATCGGGCTGGAGGACTACGACAGATACCCGCTGGATATCAAGATCCGTCTGAAAAAGGAGTAGCACCAGCCTTATATTTGAACTGTTGGTGGCACTCGACATGCTTAAGGATCCGAGCCATATATGGAGGCTTTGCGTTGTGGCCATCTTGTGGGGGGAGTTCTTTCATTCTTTGTTCCACAAGTTGTGCATGAGGAGGTGTCGCTGTGGAACAAAGGAACTGCCATTCAAGGTGGTTGTCGTGCAAAGCCTCTGTAGGGTCTGTTTGTTTCACATGGATGCAGATCCCTATCAGTGATCTGATGCTGATTTGCTTCATGCATCAGGTGTGGTCTGGTGCAAGTGAACCATGTTGTGATTGAGATCCAGGCGAAACAAACAGGCCTTTAGAGAGAGTGACAACATCTTCATACTAGAAGCCATTTTGATTCTGAAGTCTGCTAAGAAATCGCACACACACTTGTTCCATAGTTGTAGGGACTACCCACTGTAGTGCTGAAACAACAGAACCCATAAAGACAAAAACGTCAGGATGTTGGGCACGATAAGTTAATCAGCATGATCGGGTAATTACCTTACACTCTCAGTCGATCCTGTATGAAAGTATCTGACTTTACTCTCCTTTTTCAAAACAGTGGCATATCCATAGGGGGTCCCCCAGGAGACGACAGACAGAGCATACTGTCCAAAACGTTGCATACCCCCCCGGTTCTTTTCAGAACCACACATATTCAGAAAGAGATATCCTTGCACAGTGCTACCACAAACCTCTATAACTAATATTTTTCCACCCCTCAGCCCAAGACCTGTATACACCACTGTTTCAAGCAATCTTTTATAACTATAAATTACAAAGAAAAGGCAATTGACCGATGGTGGAGTCGTCAGCAAATCATGTAATAAAATCGACAGATTTGGCAGATTGTCCGATCACACTCAACAGGGACAAATTTTTGTCCCCAAAACTCAGTCCCATTTTATGATTGACAAAGTGGCACCCCACGCACAGTGGCCAGTCATTTTGGAAACAAAATGGTGTCATACAGAACCTCATGGCTCAAGTCTCTGTGCACGGTTCAGTGGGGATGTTCCCTTTACACCAATGCATATGGCTTCAGTGATACAATGCATGGTCTTGTAGAAACTTTTTCTTGAATGCTAGACTTCCAGAAGGGAGATCTTTTCGTCCAGGAGTGCCTTTCGTTGAATGCCCATATCTGAAACGTGTTTTACAATTATGGTATGAAACGACTAAAATTTTGGAATGAGTCACATTTTCTCATTTTGCATAACTGATGTTCTATTACCTTATAATTTCACATAACTTGACAAATTGTTTTCATTGTTCAACCTTTGTCCTTAAATTCAATACTGTTCAGTGTAGTGCCTTTTATTTTTGGTTTGGTTGTCTTTCGTTTTGGTTGTCCTTAAATTCAATACTGTTCAGTGTAGTGCCTTTTATTTTTGGTTTGGTTGTCTTTCGAAAACCTAATGATTAGGATTGGAGTCATTCTATTAATTAATTTCCAAATTAAAGAAACATTCAGTGTAATATATCAGTACCAAGTGAAGTTTTAGGGTTTTTCTCCTGAAATAAAATGTCATTGGCGTCACATATCTGAATACTTCTCAAACTCAAAAGCATTTCAAATACTTTTTGTAACAGATTGTCTCAAGCATTTGTCAAGCTTCACACAATTTTTTTTTGGGGGGTGGTGCTGGAGCAAGCTAAATCCTCCAGTGAACCATTTCAGAAACTAGCTAACTTGCTTGATATAAAAATATGGAAAGGACACTTGGTTCTAAATGGCCATGAGGTAACAAGGTTGAAAATAAACAAATTTAAACAAGACAGAAAAGTGGTTGGATTTAAATCTTCTGCTGAGAAATCGAGGCCTAAAGTTGCAGTGTTCCTTAATTAGTGTCTGTGGTCATGGGACGCTACTTTGCTGCAAAAACTGACAATGTTGAGGGTAAACTCAAAATGTGCAGTTCAGACACACTTTTGGATAGTTAATGTTGTAGATGTATTTGGATGAAATATTATTAAGTTGGTGAGTAATTGGAAATGAATAAACTGGATTCAAAATGCAGATAAGCAGTCAACAATTTGGGAAGCTAACCCTCCTATTGTCTTCTGGGGGTTAATTGAAGTGAATTCTAGTAAAATCGTGCATGCTTAAAGATAATGAAAGAACAATGTCATTAATCAATGTGTTTTATATTTTAAATACTTGTGCCTAATGTGTGTCCAGTGGTACTTCCTTTTTATGCATTCATCATGTCAATGCTTTGTCTTTTTATTATTTCAAAAGAAGGTGTAAAGGTGTAAAGTTATTTTCAAAGGTTAAGAACACGGTATGGACTGCAATGCCATTGTTATTTTTGCATGGATGTTATGCTATTTAGACCAGCACCTGTTAAACCTAAAGGGTGTGGCTGTGCATAAATTATGCAAATTAAGTGGATTTGCAATAATGATAAACAAATACCAAAGTATTTGAAATGAATGATTCATTTCTTACTGTTCGTTAACTTTGTGCATTTATTTCAGCCAGGATGTAGCAAATGTGCTCATTGGACAGGAAACATTGTCACAACTGTCCCTCCCCACCCCCATTCTGTAAATTATTCCATCCCAGTTGGGTCACAACGGTCGAGTTCGGGTGGCCTGTTCTTGACACGGGTTTCTTGTTCTCATGCTCGAACAGTGGGAACACGACTCAAGAACACTGAACTGAGAACAGGATCACACACCACCTCCTCGTCATGGTTTTACAGGAACACATGGAAAAACTTGTGAGATTTTGAGTTTTTGATAACTGCAAAAAGTAGAGAGATGGCTTACAAAGCTAGAGACAATGGGAAGTTTTGCAAAATAAACATCGACAGCCCTCTGCTTTGGGTGGATTTCGAGAGTCACTGCAGGATTTTTGAGCAATAGTTTCTTAATCTATCAAAGCGTTTAGTGTTCGTCCAGTTCTAAGTCTTCCTCATAAAAGTCCTTTTAACTCTCCAATTTGTGATGGCAAAGAAAGTGGTCGTTTTTGTTCCTTGAGGAAAAATCAGTTTGGGAGAAATTGCTTCCTTTGAACTGCAATTCAAGGTGATGTGCCTCAGTTGAGCTTGCTCTGTTGTTGGCCAACTTACCAGGCTGTGAATGTGTCTGTCAACTTGGTCATTTGTATCATTTTGAATGACTGAGGAATACATGTATGTGGAATTTACTAGTTGGAGAGTTAGTTTGCGTTTTGTGGTGCCCTTTTCGTTTTTGTTCTGTTTTGTATTTTGTTCTTTTCTTTTACATCGGAGGGTAGGGTTTTGCACTGTTTGGTTTCCAAAGGATATCAGAAGAAAAAGACAATAAACTGTTGCAAGTACAAATTGCCGTTTCAAGTGACTTGGTGTACAATTTAATTAAATCCAACTTCAACTTGCAATGTATTTCATTTACTTCTCACTTTAATTGATTTTTTTTCTTTAAGTAAACAGTATTGTTTGGACAATAAATAGAGGGCGCTATATCCTCACTTTTTTCAAGAGAGGACGCTGTTGGACATTCAGTAGAGGGCGCTGTATAGTTCTTTGCCTCTCATTTCTGTTAAATAAGCCAGTTTTTGTATTTCAAGAAGCGTAAAGCTACGTATAACTTTTTAAAAATATATATATACTTCTGTGGATTTGCCTTGGAGTTCTTTTTTTCTCAACAGAGGGTGCTGTTTTCATTGCCTCGAGAGGGTGCATTCACAGACATAAACGCATAGACCGCTAGGCCCTATTCAAAACTACGGGGGTTTTCGTGATCTGCGAATCTTTGGAAGCATATATTCATGTAAACAGCACGGACGTCATAAGATTTTTTTATATGACGTCAGTGGTAAACAGATACAGGCAATGTAAATGCGTTGCGCGTAATGCGCACTGGACGCGCTGCCATCACTGATGTCTACTGTGGCTGTTTGCCCATACTTTTCAAAATCACGGTTTTACGCACAAGACCGGCGGTCTATGCAATTATGTCTGTGGGTGAATTCCACCTAATTGCTTGATTTCTGCACGCGAGCTCATTCGTAATTATTATGTGACACTGAGGGTTTTTACAATAAGACATGCCATAATCAGGAGGGATCATAGAAATATTTCTATAAATCCCTAATTTTGGAATGGCAGTTTCCAGTTCGGGGTAAAAAGCCCCAACTTGTGGGTCTATTTTGGATAGAAGTATATTCAAACCTTAGCGCATAGTTTTATTACTATTTTGGGGGTATCTTCGGGGAAAGGCGAATAAAAGAAATCACGTGGCTAACCCCTATAAAACTGAAACGGAAAGTGAACTTCTGGTCATAATTTTCAATTTCCAGTGGAAAACACGACGGAGGTCAACCTCTTCCGGAGAGTCACTAGGCGGCGCTATTTCTATCTGATTTTTCACTGTTTTTCAGGGCATGTATTTGGCGTAGTGCAACCTAGAGGGCGCTATAAATTAGGTCAATAGAGGGCGCTAATCATAGCGTTGGGCCCTTGGGGCGCCATTTTGAAAAGGAAAAACTGGACGTTCGCAGACGATAGCACGTGTAGGTCACAATTTAACAAGAAGACATGGAAATATGAGCTTAAAAAGGTATGTTTTTTATCACTAAAGAAATGTTTACTCTTTAATTTGAATAAAGTATATTTTAAAGGGGTTACTGTCTAATTATTGGTCATAGACAGAGGTAGAGTTTGGGAGGCCAGTTCTTGACATGACACGGGTTTCTTGTTCCCTTGCTCGAACGGCGGGAACACGACTCAAGAACACTGTTCTCGGAACAGGATCACACACCACCTCCTCGTCAGGGTTTTACAGGAACACACAGAAAAAATCGTGAGATTTTGATTTTTGAACAGCTGCAAAAACTAGAAAGATGGTTTACAAAGTTGGAGACAATAGACAGTTTTGCAAAATTAACATTAATTATTTTCACAACACAGAAGTGAATTTTCCTGTTTAAATAGAAAAGAATTCGGCCCAGTTGTCCGAGCATTAACTCTCGAATAGTTTACTACGATATGGACACCGCCATGTTGCTTGTTACAAACTACCAGCGATGACCAATTGTACGTTCCCTGTATTCAAGCAGCCGACCCGAGAACGACAAATGAAGCTGTTCGTGAACATACATGTACGAGAACAAGTCGCCCGAACTCGGCCAAGAGCACTGTTATCGGAATAGGATCACACACCACCTCCTTGTCAGGGTTTGAACTTTTACAGGAACACACGGAAAACTCGTGAGATTTTGTTTTTCGAACAGCTGCAAAAAGTAGAGCGATGGCTAGCCCTACTAGTGTGGCATGGACTCTCACTCCCGATCCATCCGGTCCTTAGCCACACATCCGTATACGCAATTTCGTGTCGGCATACTGAACATTTTTGACGCACCCTTTTATCATTGTGGGTGCAATTTCTCAAGACATATGTAATACACGGACTGAGCGATAAGATACTACATGTACCAATGGGCTCTTCCAAAACTTTAGCAGCAGTTTAGATGTCTTGACATGGAACAGCTGTCGAGATGATGAGGGGTCAAGTGACGTAATGCTCAACGACCTTATTTTAAAGATGGCGACTGTAAGAGCGAGCCTGTGAGATTGAATGGGTGAAGGCCAAAATACCAGAACAACGTGATTGAAATCATTCAATAAATGACGCTAAGAAAGCGGAGAAACTAATTCTCATTTCTGTGTGCAATAAAAATTGCGGCTACAATTATAAGAGGGTGCGCTGAACTTTTTCACTACGCCGACATGCAAATTGCGTATACGGATGTGTGGCTAAGGATGGAGCGGGAGTGAGAGTCCATGCCACACTAGTGGGGCTAACAAAGCTAGAGACAGTAGAAAGTTTTACAAAATTAATATTAACCCTCCTGCTGCTCTAACCATAACAACAGTCAAAAAGTCCTTCCACTTGATTTGTCCCAGTACACAGACACATATGGAAAATTTGACTGATTTTGACTGATATGAAAACTGTCAAAAACATATCTTTGCTTAGGAGGGTTAATTATTTTCCATAACACAGACTGACAGAAATGAATGTTCCTGTTTAGGAAAAAGTTCAGCCCAGTTGTCCAAACATTATCTTTCAAATAACATACATGTACATGGATCGCCGTGTTGCTTGTCACTTAGTACAGTGATAACCGGTTGTACATTCCCGATGTTCGAGCGGCTGACCCAAGAACAGTAAATCAAGCTGTTTGTCAATGAATGAGAACAAGCCCCCCGAACTCAGCCAGAGTTGTGTGTAACTGTCATAGGTCATTAGCCTAGGTGTGGTCACTTCGTCCCTAACCCCGTTGCCGCATCCCCACTTCGCCTCATCCCCATTTCGCGACGTTCGTTGACATTAGCGCCCATGTTCCTTTAAAAGGGAAACAAGGTCAAATTTTATGAAACAACTCACCTAGCTACATGTAGGTTGTTGGGTTTAAAATAACTTTATTGACATCAACAAAAATATAAAAACAAGCTATATGAAGACAACTTTCGACCTAGGACACAAACGAAATAGCAAGGGGAGAGCCTTGGAGGCATGGCAAGGTCTGAACAGAGGGGGGAAAAATTGGGGGAGATAAATTACGTACAAATTTCGAGAAAGGAGAAGACGATTAAGGGGAAAGAGAGGGGGAAAAAATATTCTCTTTGATATAAGAAAGACTGTGGTGAAAGAGGGTAGGGCATACCCCTAGAACTGTGGGGTCCAACATCTGCCCCGCTCCCATGAACCTCGCAGAAAACAAGCCTTTTTTGCCATAGACTGTACTTGACGTTTAACAGGGCACAAACAGGGGTTTTATTCTGGTTGTGTTCCGATAGTAATGCTGCTCCATTTCCCCCAAGAGTTCTATGTAAGATACCTGTAACTTACTGTACATAACTTCATACTGAGTACCAAGAAAAATGTGGGCCTAAACCATGCCGTTTTCCAAAAAAAGGTGCAAATATTTCCTGATCAGTGTGAAGACAAGCCGCAACCAAATGGTTGACTATGCACTGTTGCAACGTTAACAGTTTCTATAGAGGCCATACTTGGATGCAGACAGGCAACGATCTTTGTCCGCATCTGCAAAAAGTAGAGCAATGGCGTACAAAGCCAGAGACAATAGGAAGTTTTACAAAATTAACATTGATTATTTTCCAAAACACAGACTGACGGAAATAAATGTTCCTGTTTAGAAAAAAATTCGTTCTGGTTATCCAAACATTAACTTTCGAATAATGCACATGGATACCACCATCAATGGCCATGTTGCTTGTCACTTTTCCAAAGAAAGGTGCAAATATTTCCCGATCAGTGCAAAGACAAGCCGCAACCAAATGGTTGACTACGCACTGTTGCAACGTGAAGAATTTCTGTTGAGGCTGTATGTGGATGCAAACAGGCAGCGGTCTTTGCCTGCATCCAGGTGCAGCCTTAACAGAAAGAGTTAACGGTGCTACAGCATACTCACTCGCACTGGCACCCAATGGCTGTTGCTTGTCATTCCTGCCATTCGGGCATAAATAATGAGGAGCCATGTGATTGGTCAGTGTAACCCCCAGCGCGCCGCAGCCTACCGCCATTTCAACTGCGCGGCTAAAAATTACACAGACACGTACGGAAAGCGGCTGCAGCCAATTTCCATACATATCGATCGCAGCCGTAGTCTACTGTTTGGTCACGGCTCATCTTCGCAAGTACACATGTGAACCGCATGATTCTCGGACGCTGAGGGGGAAATATTTGCACCTTGTTTAGGAAAATGGCATGGTTTTTGGCCGTTTTCTTTTCTTGATAGTTGGTATGAAGGTATATAAGCTATCTTACACAGAACTCTTGGGGGCAATGGAGCAGCATTTCTATGGCAACACAACCAGAATAAAATCCCTGTTCATGCCCTGTTAGTGTTAAACATCATGGCAAAAAGCCTGTGGCAAAAAAGCTCCTTTTTCTGTGGGGTTCGTGGGAGCACAGAGGATGTTGGACCCCACAGTTCTGGGTGTATGCAGGGCGTTGATTTTTAGACTACTGGGTGACATTCTCAAATGATGTCGCTGAATGGTTGCTGGAAAAAAATCTTTATTATTAATTCTCTCATTGGACAAGAGTTTAGGGGAGTAAGATGCATCAAATAATTAATAATAATTTATTCATTTATATAGTGCAAATTTAATAAATGTTCAAATGCGCTCTACAATGAAGACATTAGGCGTGGAACAATAAATACATTTAAACTTGGTTGAGCCGATGGCATACAAGGGTGCCTCTGGCAGCCGCCAAATGTCCCACATTCACCAACATCAGTAAAAAGGAGACAATAAGAAGCAGTTACAGTTTTAGGGGTTGGAGGAAACCCCAGAGGAACAGTCTGGGTAAAACCCACGGATTCAGGTAAGGACTGAAAACCCAATCCACATGTGGACCGGGCCGGGAATCGAACCCAAGACCACAGAGGTGGAAGTCGAGGAAAGAACTACCATGCCAACCCGACTCCCCGAACAGCCGAAACTCACACGTGACAAAAGGACGGGTTTTGATTGGGCTTAAGCTTTGCCTCGAGTGTGGAATAAAAGAAAGGGAGCTTTGCTCGCAAATGGTTTCAGTCCAGAGGGAGTACATTAATGTCGTTTGCAGGGAACAGTTAAAAAGTGCCTCCATCATCAGCTGATGGGAAACAAAATGTAGTGTAATCGACCAGGACCTATAGACTAGTTGGCACATTTCCATCACACGTTCTTTGGCATGGGCACGTGTTCGTGAGTGGTCTGCTGGGTCAGCGCACTGTGACATCGTCTCCAGGACATTAACATACAGTTTAAATTACTATTTGAACAAGATGACATCTTTGAGGTCAACGACAAGAGCATTTCCGATTTGAAGGGGAAATTTTTTTTACCGCAAATACGTGTAAAGTGAAATTTCATTAAAACTCCCAATTTCTGATTCTAAAGTCTCAGTTTTACTCACTTCAAAGTTCCGATGAAATTCCATTTTGGCGTAATTTTCCAATTTGTTCATAAGTGCAAAATGAACTTTTTTATTAAAAATGTGCCAAAAATATTACAATCATTTTGTGACAGACTTGTGGTTAGGTGTGTAAATGTAAGTGGAGATATTTTAGAATTTTTAAATGTTTCTTGGATTTTCTGAGATTCTTTTTCAAGTTTGCCATGTTTGGGAACACTCAGCTGAATTCTTGCCCAACTTTCAGACACCGCCGGTTGTGAATTTCGAACGAAATTGTTCACAAAGGTTCAACAGTAGGTATTATGAAGTCATAATGCCAGTATTTAAAGTATGCCTCGTTACGGGGCTCTGCTACACGGTTTGTACATTATCGCTGTAACTATATTCTCACTGCATCATAAGTGTCTCATTTTGCGTTGCCGATAATTCAGTAAGGAAGGCCTACTACGTGTAGTAGCAATTAGCAGTATTCACCCAGTTTCACGCATTCATCAATAACATACGGCCTTAATTCAGATTAGTTTCATAAAAACAACAGAATGAAAGTCACAACTTTGGGTACGTCTGAGTAATTTTTAATGTAATTTTTTTTCTGTATTTTTGTAAATTTTCCATGACTGTCCATACCTATCGGTACTGTACTATGCATATATTGTACTATGCCCATGGATATCCGTTGCTGGGTTCCCAGCCTCGTTGGCCAAAAGTGTCAAAAGACTTTTTACCTGTGAAAGTGTCCCGGGGAGGGGGTGAAATCAGGACATGGACCTCTTACCTCTGCACTGAAAAACTGCTTTCGTGCATAAAGTGTGTCCCCAATTTCCATTATTATGGGTTTGTACCAATCATGCTTTCATCATGGGGAACATGTACATGTAGTGGCAAATAATGACATTGGCATGATTGTCTCAAATTTGTTGCATTTCAACAACTTCAAGAAATTTTCAAGGATATTTAAAATTTCTAACACTACTTATCACTAAAATATTTCAGTCCTAATCAGGTGGCCATAATGCTTGGGTAATTAGACCTAAGAAAGCAGACATTTTTAAGGATTGTTTCAGACGTCAATTAAAGAATTTGTCTGCCAAGAAAATGAAATTGCGATTCAACATGTTCTCTCTTCGGAGGGCATCTTTAAGCAGAAGACCGGAAAACAGAGTAAATAACAAGTCATCTAACACCTTTATCATAAAGTGAGGCTATTTTGTGTCTGTTAAAAGTACTTATTTTTACACGTACATGTACCATGGTTTGCCTCAAAAACTCTACATGTACAAAGTTTGGACCAAAGCCATGTATGTGTATTCTATTCTTCTGTGTGCTGTACATGTTCGTGTACGTGTGCACTAGATTCTGCAGTGTTGGAGTGATGCCGAAATTTTTACATAAATGCCAGTTGTTATGGTGGCCTGATTTGTTGGAGAATTTGTGATGGTTTCAAATTGTAATACAGTCACATATTTAATCAGTTTGTTTTCTTGAACAAACAATACGCTTGTAAAACCTAACCTTTGGTTGTCAAGCAAAGAATTTGGCAAGTGAGATGCTCGTTCTGAGACTTGGATTTATAGTTTTGTTGTGAATCGGACTTCTTTTATATTTTGCAGGTTGCCCATCCATTAGCATGGCTGCTTCCATGGATGGTCTACCCACTGCTAAGCATACAGCGTAGTGACCATTGTTGATGCTGCCTTCAACAATGAGCCCAGAGCATGATCAAGAGAGGGTGCAATCTGTCTAGCATCAGGGGCTCCTTTGGTGGGGGACTGCACTTTGCTGGTTCAAGACCAACTATCCCCTTGCAGTCAACTGATGAGGGGGTGCTTCAGCTCATGGTTGATACTCGGCCATCGCGTGCCTTTCACTCCAACAAACGAGGTAAGCAGGTTACCACACTATAGCCACATTATGCAGCCTTACAGTGCGTGTACAATGGCACACCAAGGATTGTCATCAGATAGGGGTCAACTCCTCTGACTGAATATTCCAGATTACTTATACATGTGCATGTGTATTGAAACTTATGTACATGTGCAAGGGCATTGAAATTAATAGCTTATTAAAGAAACTAATAACTTGTTTTGTTTGTTTTGTTAGATGAATTATGATGGACTGTAAGTACATGTAAGGCAAAACACCCCCTCCCCAAAAGTGATAAAAATTCAAGTGAGGGTTTTTCCTCCTGAAAATCCTTATAGAGAATGTTGCCCCCTGGAAAAAAGCCTTTCGCTAGAAATAACGTTGAAATTCGCTGCTTTTGTTGTTTTCTTCATTTTCATTTTTTTGGGGGGAGGGAGTGGGAATCTTCATATCATAAATTGACAACTTCCTGTTTTGTTTCTGTGATTGAGTTTATGAAACATGCTGTTGCCCATGCTGCTAGGGGGTTCTTTACATATGTATGCTTTTTATCCTGGGTTCTCATTTTATACATGTACACGTCGATGTACATGTATGTTGTTGCCGTCTTCCTCAACCGTCAGTCTGTTGGCATGTACTGTATGTTTGGTATGGTTTTACCACTGCATGTTCTTCAAAGAGTGACAGCATCAGTGTTCTGAATGGCTGCTTGCTGAAGTACATGTACATGTAGATCGCACCTCCATTGCTGCAAGTTCATTCGTGCTTGCCGCAGGCAGCCTGTCTGTCTCCAACACGTTAACCACTCCAGTAACCCCAGGGTACCTGTACGTTTAACTGCAGCCTTGAATGCAGGAGGTGCCATCTCCTCCGAGCCATTCAGGAATGGGGAGTGGAGAGGAAAGAGCTTCTGCCGCGTCATTGGATTTGTACCTTCAGGGAGTTGGGCATGTACATGCACAGTATGGTAGGCCTTGCATTGTTGTACATTGTACATGTGTATGAGGTATAGGTGTGCATTTGCGGGTATTTGTAGAACTGGGCACCCGTTTTTTGTTAACATCGGGTACCCGGGTACCCGGAAAAGAGATCGCCTAATAACAAATGACATTGCGCGCGACCCGGTGGATCATGTGCCCGAAACACGGTTCATTTTGGTACATAGGAAGCAAGCAGTACATTGTTCTAAACGTCGGAGTTAATCTTTCCTACCTTTTTATCAAACGAAATTGTTACCTTCAGTTTGCCAATTTTTTGTGGGTGTATGAAACAGAAAAACAAATCTGTACGTCACAGGTTAAAAGGCTCAAAGTTTTATGTACAAAAATACCACCGTAACTCGAACAATGCCCACACCATTACACTGTACATGTTTCTGATTCAAAAAAACCACCACCAAAATGCTTTAAATGGCGTTGAAAGTATCCGAAGTCTATATAGGGTTAGGAGTCATCGCAAGTTCATTTCTTTTCTGACGAGGACCAGCACGTTGCATCAACGTACATGTAGCTGCAACTGTGTAGTCCTGGCTTTCAAGATGCTGAAGCTAACCTGATTGCAACACGGGCCCAATTGTAGTCCCCTTCAGGCAGTCCAATCGCTGACACTGCAGCGGCCATGTGACCGTAAAAAGAAAGGTCATGTGACCACACATAGGGAAGCCCAAGTGAAAAAAATTGCAGCGTTTCATGTTGTTAAATGAGTAAGCAATACGAAAGTTTTGCCTCATGAAGGTACGTACCACGATGAAGTGGTTTAGTTTAATAAATACTTTTTCAGGATAACTTCATTCCCCTGAGGTTCAGTTGTCAAGATTTTAATGTACATGTATAAGTACTTCGACAAGTGACA